CTTGTACGATGTTATTGAAGAAGCGGTCAGCCGCAGGTGCTGTTGGAGGAATACGATGCATGGGTTTGGGTTGGCTGGACGGAGTGGTCACACTGCGCTCATGTCTTACTCAGATGAATGTGCTTCGAAATTGAAATGTACACATACATCTTATCTATCTTCCTGCCTGATTGTGATGTCTTCCGCCTACCCTGTCGCCCAGTAGTGTCCATGGGACCTGACCAAACTGGAAGGTGCCATCTGGGGCGTAGCACCTGCCAAAACCACAACCACAACCATGACAACCACCACATGTGAGGCCGTTCAGGAAGAAGCACGAAGGTGTTCATGCACCAAGCATGGTCCTCCCGAGCTCAAGCACACAGCGGGCAGCGGCAGACAAGGATGCCCTCTAGCGCGACCCGGAACCGGCGAAACACCTCGGCAGCCCTCCGATTCCATCTCAAACTTTTGGCCAGCAACAACCCCAAAGCCGAATTGAAAGCGCCGCCCACACACACGCCCAAGATGATATGTCGAACCTGTCTGCGCAGCGCCTCGCGCGCCCAAAAACTCTCTTCCACACGCCCGCAACCCATGCGCTTCCTCACCACCACAACCCCCCTCCGCAACGCAACACCCATCTCCGCAAGCACCGCAACGCAATCCGCCGGCCGTCAAGGCGACTCGACTTCCTCGCACAACCCGCCAACCGCGACTTCCACATCTGCGGCTCAGCCGTTCAGCGAGCCGTTAACGCCAGCCGCGAGTCCGGATCTGAAAGCCACGGCTGCGGAGGCCGCGAAGAAGAAGGCTGCTCCGCTGGTGAAAAGCAGTATACCAGCTGGCCAACCGCTGAAGGGGTTGAACTTTTTGAAAGATAGACAGGATCCCGTTGCGTTAGCTGACGACGAGTATCCGAGTTGGCTGTGGACGATATTGGATCGGCAGGAGAAGAAGGCGGATGCTGGGACGGGGGATTTGTTCTGTACGTTCCCCTCTCAATCCACATACATTCCCACCTCCTCTGTCCACTTTATGGCATGGATAAGAAGAACGACTTTACTAACTACACCCCCCAGCGAAATCAAAGAAACAACGCCGTCTAGCCGCAAAACGCCTCCGCAAGGAACAAGCCATGAACCCCGAGATGCTGGTCCCCAAAGTCCCGCTATACGAACAGACGATTGATTTACCGGCCGGCGACGGTAGTTTGCAGGGCGCGGTCAAGGCGCAGGATGCGAGAGAGGAGTTGACAAAGGCGATGAGGAATAAGAGACGGGCGGGGATTAAGGAGGCTAATTTCTTGAAGGCTATGGGGTAGACTGTGGGGGACTTTCTCTTGCTGGTGGGCGGGATGTTGTGGTGGCGGTGGTGTAAAATATGGGAGATGCACGACTATCACGATATGTATAAACATCTGTGAGTTTAGAGATATGTATGTACCTTGGAGAGTGGACATGTTGACTGAGATGAAGCATACGCTCGACTTGATCACTCTCTGCATGCACTGTAAAACAGACAAGGATACCAAGACATAAATGTTCAAAACATGTATTCTCGCAATACACCCGTATAACTACTTTTAACACATCCAAAACATCCAACTAGAAACGCCACAAATGCACCCTCATCTCCCATCCCATCAACCCACGCCAACCCAGGGAAAAACTGAACAGCCTGGAGCCTACGTTGACATTGGGTCACCTACTTTGCAAAGTTTTAGGTCAACGTAGTCTGCAGACCCGTTCAGTTTCTTTTCTCGAATAAGGTGAACAACCTAAGCAACATCCACAAACCCCCTCTTCTTCCTATTCTCCTCCCCATCCATCTTATCCACGTCCTCCCACCTAACCAACCTCGCCTCATCCACCCTCTCCCCCACAAACCTCAACGCCGCAACGTTAAACCCAATCAAATCCTTGTTGCCCATGAGTGTACTCCGCAAATCATTGCGCATACCCTCTAGCACAGTCTTGAGTTCGCGACTGGACACAATCTGCTTCTGATGCGTTTTGAGCATGAAGAAGAGGACGCGGCACGTCAGTGTTACGTTCCACTGTTTCCGCACCCAGATAGCGAGGAAAGTGAAGAGAGCGGGGAGAGAGGAGAAGGGGAGGACGAGTAACGCGTCGTGGAGTTGTGCAGCGGGGATTTTGGAGAGGGTGTTCAGGACGTGGCGCTCGGCGGAGATGTTGCCTAGAGCGAGGAACAGGGGGTTACGCTGTGGCGGCGCGATTTTAGGGTTGGTTCTGCGTTGGGCTTCCCAGTCTCGGACGACTTCTAGGTCCGCGATGCCTAGGTCCAGCGCTTCTTGGATGCGTTCTCCGGCGGTGAGGGTTGTGATGGTTTGTTTGCTGGCGTCGACGGCTTCGGCGCGGGTGCCCGTGGGGTCTTCGTCGTCTTCGAGGTTGGTGGCGAGGGTTTTCTCGTACATTTCTTCCAGCTCGCGTTCGCGCTCTTCTTCGAGGAAGATGGGCTCGTCGGAGCGCGTCCAGATGCGTATGCTCTTGTCGTGGCTGGCTGTGACGATGAAGTCGCCTGTCCGCGCGACGGTCATGGCCCAGATTTCGCCGTGGTGACCTCTGAACTTTTGAACTTGTTGGAACTTGTCGCCGTCCCAGCTCTTGATTGTGCGGTCTTTGGAGGCGCTGAAGAAGATGTGGCGTTCGTCGTTGTCGACGGGGTGCGGGATGAAGGATATTTGCATGATGCTGTCTTCGTGGCCGAAAAGGGCCTTGTGACAGTCTCCAAAGTCGAGACCCCAGATACGGACGTTCTTGTCGGCAGAACACGTCGCGATGAGCTTGCTGTCGCTGGAGATTGACATGTTGAGTACGGGCAGCTTGTGGCCGTACAGGTTGAGGAAGAGCTTTAATGAGTCTACGAAGAAGACTTTCACGGTGTTGTCGAGCGTCGCTACGGCGAGTAATTTAGAGTCGGGTGAGAACTGCACGCTTAGAACATCGTCGTTGACCTTGAGTATGCGCGACTGAGTCAGCTTCAAACGAGGTGTTGTGCGTTTTGTCCCCGGTATTTCTTCCTGGACAATGTCGAAATTCCAGAACTTGATGGTCTTGTCGGCACTACCAGTGGCGAGGGACTTTCCGTCGGGATGCACTTGCATAGTCCAAACAGCTCCCTCGTGTGCGTCGATCTTGTCCAGCAACGTGGATGCCGCTATGTCGTACAGTTCGATATCGCCATCCTTAGTTCCTACAACAACAATCTTGTCTCCTGGTAAGAACGCACAGCAAAGTGCATAGCCGCATTCTAGGGTGCGCAAGCAATTTTGTGTCTTGACGTTCCAGATCTTTAGCCCTCCACTTGACGCGGATGCCAGCATGCGATCATCGGAGCTGAGTGCAAGTGCTCGTACATCGTTTCGATGGCCAGAGAGTTCAACAGATAGTGTGCGGCTGTAGTCGGGTGCTTCCTCGCTCTTCGTCTTGCTTCTTTGGGGTATCTCGTAAACGTCGATGAGGTTGTTGTTCGTGCCGACCAGTAGCTGTAGCTTCTTTGTTCCCTTGATGTGCATCCATGCGACTGATCTCACTTTCCCGGCTGTTCGTACAGTCACATAGGGTACAAAGACTTCGCCAATCTCGGCATCCGCAGCGTCGACTTTGTCGTCAGCATCAGCGTCGTCTTGCATGTCTCCGTTTGTCTCGGTCTTGGCCTTTTCTCGCCTCCTCTTCCTCTTCCTGATCAGGGCTTTGCGGACCTCTTCTGGTGTTTTTATCCGCCATATCTCAACAGCCTTCTCTGCACCATGTACAGCAATGTAATCTGCCTTGGCGTAAAAGGAGATGCCTTGTGTCCTGTCCTTGCCCGTCCGGTAAAGTATGCCTCTGGATGTAAGGTATTCCTGCTCGAACCCTTCACCGATTGCTGAACCCGCTCTTCGAAGACCTGCCTGGTCGATAGCCCACACCTTGAGTTCTCCATCATTGCCGGCAGTTATGCAACCGCTGCCGTCCGGTGAAACACCAAGGGCCCAGCATTCTCCGTTTGTTTGTGCAATGTGCGTCTCGATGCAGTGCTGAGTCGTGACATCCCAGATCTTGATCAACGCGTCTTTGCTGGTAGATAGCAAAAAGGCCTGATCCGCGTCCACGTCCATCTCTTCGTCCTCTGCGCCATCTTCCTGCGGAGCACTACCGGGGTGGAGAAATTGCAGGCCGGTGATTTGGCCCTTGTGCCCTCTCAGCTTGAACAAGCCGGTTTCCGAGACCAGATCCCACACGACAATGTCTGTATCCTTGGCACCACTCGCCAGCCGTACTCCGCTCTGGTCAAAAGTCAAGACTGTGACAGCGGATTTGTGGCCATTGAAGCTGATGATGACGGTCGACGTTCGCGCATCCCATATGCGTATGCTTCCGTCGGCGTAGCCCACAGCGAAGACGTCCGGGTCGATATCGCTCCGGCATATTACGGTGACTTCTTCGGTGCAGGTGTTGTCGCGCCATCTGCTCATAAGTTCGCCCTTCTTTACATCCCAGCACAGCACTTCCTCGTTGGCGGCGGCGTATGCGCGTCCGGCGCCTGCGACTCGACTCGAACCGGGCTGCGTGAGGCCTTCGGAGGTCCATATGATGTTGGAAGTGGCAGTCGCGACCACGCCGAAAGCATCGGACTGTTCATACTTGCTATGTAACAGTTAGTACGAGCTCTATGCGAGTTGCGCTGCATGTGCGCATTACCTGTATGATTTGACCATTTTGCGCCGCCTCTATAAAATTCCGGATACTACGTGAGGATAGGGTTTGAAGGATCTTAGAGTCAGTCGCTTCAGGTCATTGCGCTCCTCAGACAATGTTCGCGGGTATGCGCCACTGGTAACGGTCGGGTTGGGAGTTGGTTACTTTCTCGAAACTTTTTAGACAAGGGCCAACCCCACGGATTGCGCTAGACCCACCTTCCAGCATCACAGCACACCTCCGTCCTCCGCATCACCGCCCTCGAATAGCTCCCCGCCCGACGACGCCCACCCGCCTACGAGGAGCTGAACCGCCAACATGCTTCTTCTCGACTATCAAAACGTCCTTATCGAATCCCTCCTAAGGGAACGAATCAATGGGTGCGCCATACCCCGCTGCCTTCCGCTCCGCAGCACCAACCAGGTAGCTAACAGCACATAGAGGAGCTACCGCCAACATTGACCAGGTCGTCTCCGACTTCGATGGCGTCACCTTCCACATCTCAACACCCGAGAGCAAGACCAAGATACTAGTGTCGCTGCACATCAAGTGCTTCAAGGAGCTGGTCCAATACGGCGCGCAGGCAGTGCTGGAGCGAGAGTATGGGCCTTATATCGTGGAGCCAGAATCTGGCTACGATTTCTCCGTGCTGGTAGATTTGGAAAACCTGCCAGAAGAGCAGGGTACGGCCTCTTGTCAGATTGCTGGAACAAGGTGCTGACGGTGTGCAGATGCCAAAGAAGACCTGGTCAGGCGCGTTTCCCTACTCAAGCGAAACGCCATGGCTGCACCCTTCGAGCAAGCCTTCGACGAGTTCCATGAGTTGCAGGAGGAAGCCTCCAAGTACACATCCGAGTCGGCGCCACAGGGTGTAGCGGAGGGCGGTGCCGTGCGCGCGATCCACTACCGAGAGGAGGAAGCCATCTACATCAAGGCCAGCCACGACCGTGTCACCGTCATCTTCTCCACCGTCTTCCGGGAAGAGACAGACAGGATATTCGGAAAGGTGTTCCTTCAGGAGTTCGTTGACGCCAGGCGGAGAGCTATTCAGAACGCACCACAAGTGCTGTTCCGGAATGACCCGCCGCTTGAGCTGCAAGGCATCCCCGGAGTTGACAACTCTGGCTCGGCTGAGATTGGCTACATCACATTTGGTGGGTCGTCTAACACGATTGACTGTACGTCCTGCTAACCTCTGCAGTACTCTTCCCTCGCCATCTCGCCAAGCAACGGCGCGATGAGGTTATCTCGCACATCCAAACCTTCCGCGACTACTTCCATTACCACATCAAGGCTTCCAAGGCCTTCATTCACACAAGAATGCGCAAGCGGACTGCAGACTTCCTTCAAGGTATATTGTGCCGTGCTGCCTGCGCCAGGTTTATACTGACAAACTATAGTTCTCCGCAGAGCCCGACCCGAAACAGAGGAGAAGGAGAAGAAGACAGCCAGCGGTCGTACTTTCAAGGTTCAGGCATAGACGAAAACAAGGAACTGTTTCAATTACAAGGCGGCATGCGCTGCACATGTCTAGTGAATTGAGGAGGGTCGTTGATGGCCAATGCAGGATGAAGTATTAGAGAGAGCGTACCATGTAGTTAGCGATGATTGAACCCGCCTGGTATCAGGCAAAAGCAAGCCTACCATCACATTCATGCCTGCCTTTCGGTGTATAACATGAGTCCATACCCAAGTCACTATGCCGTGCGGGGACTAGCGCAAGTCGCGACTGCCACTCTGAACGCGTCCCCTGGCACACACCCACCTTGCGCCGAACCAGCGTTACCCCTCCCTGCAGCCAACCGCCATGTCCGAAGGAACCAGGCCAAAATACGACAACCTCCCCGGCATTGATACCGCCCCGGACATCTACGAGACCCCCGAGCTCGCCGAAGATGTGTCTACAATCCAAGCCTCCACCGCCGTTTCCGAGTCCGACGGCGAAGGCGACGATGACGACCCGAGAGACTCTGCAGTTCGTCACCAGCGACTTCAACCCGATCAAGCCCGCAATCGCTTCCAGCCTTCACGAATAGACGCCCGCGGGGTCGATTTCTCGGACAACATCACCGCACAACGGCAATCTTACCGCACATCAACACGGCGCCAGCGGAGGCGAGGCGAGATAATAGGAGATGACAGCGATGAAGAAGAGGAAGGCTTCGCGAAGAAGCTATTACGGATCAAGCGAGAGCTAGCCGGGTTGGAGGAGGAGTACGAACGAAGAGTGGAGAGCGGGGACAAGTCCAAGATTGAGGAGCAAGACCCGAGGGAGTTGATGGAGACCATAGCAAGCAAAGTCGACACCATATACACAGCACACAAGGGCGGGGCGCGGGGCGCACAAGCTATACTCGACCGGACGGTACAAAAGTTTGAGAGCTACAAGCCCTTTGATCCTAGCACGACGCTCAGCGAAGCCATCGCAAACAAGCCGCCGCTACCAGGCACCCAGATTCAGAGGGGTCAGCTCGACGTAGTGCTGAACCACGCGGCAGAGTTTGATAAGCGCATAACGCAGATTGAGAACAATCTGGGCCTCAACGGGAACACAATGCCGGAGCTCAGTGACCAAACGCCTTTTCCTGTTGCTTCTACTCTGACGAGGTTGGAACAGACGCTCAGCTTGATTGGGGATGCTTCGAGCAACAACTTGGACGCCGTCACACAGAACGTCAAGAAGCTCACAGCAGAAGCGGAGCATCTGAAGGAAGTTCGGCAGGAAGCTGCACAGGCTAGCTCAAATTCTGGCGACAACAAGGCGGTGACCTATCCAGACCAAGAGGCTAAGATCAACGCGCTGTATGGCACATTGCCTTCCATCGATAAGCTGTCGCCCGTTCTTCCTCTGGTCCTCGAGCGTCTGCGCACACTGCGACTCGTGCACACAAGTGCTTGGCAAGCCGATCAAGTATTGACTCAGCTAGAAAGCCGACAATCAAAGCAGGAGCAAGAAATCAAGCGGTGGGAGCGTCAACTTGAGGTTCTGGAGAGGGACTACAAGAAGGCCGAGGCCACAACGGTCAACAATGTCAAGACCGTTGGGAATGATGTCAAGATGCTGGAGGAAAAGATGGCCAAGCTGCTTGCAGGAGGCCAGGAGGAGTAGGTGTGCCGCGGCGGACTACGACTTCGCGGTCACCACTGCCTTGGTCCAGTTCAGCTGTGCTGAAGTCACGCGGATATCAATACCCCCGAGATGCTTGCAACAATCCTGTATCAAGACGCCCAGCGCATTCGGTAGGCGTACCCGGTTATAGCATGCCGATCATTTTCGAGATACCCAATAGACAGTTGCTACTCACAATCAATCAAACCAACACCGTGTCTATCTGTAGTTGTCGTCATCCTTCACATGAAGGCTGGGAATGGATCATCGTGATACTAAACTTAAACGCCGGACGCCACCGGACAGATGTTCCCCGGGGGATCAGCCAACCGGAGTGGTTGGCTCTCCGCGCGTTAGCGAGTGCCTATCCTGCAAGCTGTGTACGAGGTCGTGGACGCATCTGAGCATAGTTTCGCAAGCACTAGCTGCTATTGCGCCGAAGCATGATCGGTCAACATGAGGAGAACATGGCCACGCTGGGAAGTAATCTTCGTCATGATGCTGCAGACGGCTAGGTGGAGCTATTGTGGTGCGAGGCAGGCGATAGCATCGGCGATTTCCACGTCCAAGGCCGACCAAATTTATGTTCGAGCTTCCCTCAATTGCTCTTCCGCAACAGCTGAACTTTCTCCCAACCTACCGGAATTATCGCTAAACCTCCGCAATGGCCAAGCGCAAAAATGAGGCGCCTGCGCATGGCAAGGCGAAAAAGAAGAGAGCCATCTCCGACGACGAGGCGCATAACAATTTCCGCAGCGGTCTCTTCGACAGCAAAGTACTCGAGGGATATACGAGCGAATACGCGGATTCGCAGCCGTATGCATTAATCTCCGCACCTTCGACCCATGACGTTCTAATTGAACCATAGCTACAAGCACGCGGTAATCCATAACCTCGTCGACGATACTCTCCTACGCAATGTCCGCAACGAAATCCGCGAGCACATCCACTTTACGCCCAAAGAGACAGACATCTACAAGATTCACCAATCTGGCGATCTCGCAAATCTCGATGGCCTCCACGACTCTGCGCTCAAGCGCCTGCCTTCCCTGCTTACCCTGCGCGACTCGCTGTACTCGTCTGCCTTTCGCAAGTACCTATCTTCGATAACAGGATCTGGGCCATTGAGTGGAGTCAAGACGGACATGGCAGTGGTAGGTTGCGCGACGCATTGTCTGAGGAATTGTACTGACTGCGGCGCAGAATGTATACACACCAGGATGTCACTTGCTTTGCCATGACGACGTCATCGGAAGTCGGCGCGTAAGTTGGATTCTGTATCTGCTGGACCCTGACATTCCTTGGAAGCCGGAATGGGGAGGCGCATTACGACTGTACCCAACCGAGCACCTCGAGACACCAGACGGCGACAAGGTTAGGGTGCCACAACCAGACTTTTCGCTATCGATACCTCCGGCATGGAACCAGCTGTCTTTCTTCACCGTTCAGCCTGGCGAGAGTTTCCACGATGTCGAGGAGGTCTACAGGAGAGGGTTGGAAGAGAAGGCAGAAGAAGACGGTGGTCGCGTTCGCATGGCCATCAGCGGGTGGTTCCACATTCCGCAAGAGGGCGAGGAAGGCTACGAAGAGGGTCTCGAAGAGAAGCTGGCAGAGAAGAGCTCGCTTGCTCAACTGCAGGGAGGTAAGGCGGACGTTTTCGACGAGCCGCAATCACACTGGGTCGACAACCCAGACTGGGAGGAGCAGGCGAAACAAGAGGACGACGAGCTGACTGAGAACGACATTGACTTCCTGATCAAGTTCATGAACCCGAACTACCTGGTACCGGACACAGTAGAGGAGCTGTCCAACATGTTTGGCGACGAATCGTCGTTACGACTTGCACAGTTCCTGTCTAACAAGTTCTCCGCGCGGTTACGAGAGTACCTTGAGTCGAAAGACCACGAGGCGAACCCAAGCCTACCCAACAACCCGCACTCCAAGGAATCGATGGTTGGTGTCGCACGACCGCCACACAAGCAGCGCTATCTCTACCGAAAAGCTATTCAGCCAATACCGACCACACCGTACCCCGAGAACGACGGCATGACACCATACGACGACCTCGTAGACATCCTCTTCCCGCACCCAGCTTTCATGAAGTGGATCTCTCTTGTCACCGGTATCACACTCACCAAGAGCAACATCTTCGCGCGCCGTTTCCGGCGAGGTCTCGACTACACACTCGCGACCGCCTACGAGGAAGAAGACCCCCAGCTAGAAGTCTGCCTCGGCATCACGCCCTCCCGCGGCTGGGGCGACGAAGACGAAGAGCCCGAAGAAGGCGCTGAGGAAGAAACCAAGCAAAACGGCAGTAGCAGCAGCAAAAAGAGCAAAAAGAAGGGCAAGGCAAAGGAACCGGAACCCAAGCCCGAAGAGGAGGTCGGCGGCTACGAAATGTACATGGCCGGCGAAGACGATGCCGATCACCCCAGCGTGCCTACTGGTGAAGCTTCAACGTCTACGGGTGCAGGTCAACGTCGCAAAGCAAAGGCTGATCCTGCTATCTACAAGTCTGCGGCTGATGATGAGGACGATGGTATCTTGTTTAGCCAGCCCGCTGCCTGGAATAACCTCGCTATTGTGCTGAGGGACCGGGGTGTGTTGCGGTTCACCAAATATGTTAGTAAGAGTGCGAAGGGGGACCGGTGGGATGTCTGTGCGGAGTATGGGGTTGAGTTTGGGGAGGATGAGGATGATGAAGATGATGAATGAGTAGGTAGGTTTGCAGCTTACATCAAGATGGATATAAGCAAAGTAGATGATTCAACGACAATGTAGGCCTTATGTCTATATGAAAACATGCAGAGTGGATGACCTGACGGCAATGTAGGCCGTACATTGAGATGAAAACATGCAGAGTAAATGACCCAACGACAATATAGGCTCCTGGCTTCCATTCTGTCCTGCAAACCTATTCACTCTTTTGCTTAAAAGAGCTTAAGTCCGAGCTATATCCGTTGGCATCCCAGGCGCTCGTAATCGACCCGCGGACTAGTGTGACAACAGCACCACCTTCGCATCCTCACTCCAGGGCTCCGCTCATTCCGTGAGGTACCTTACTCACCCGCTATCGTATCGCGATGCAGACACTGACCATTCCTGCCTCTGTCAGTAAACGTAAGCAGGCTTGCAAGAGCTGTCGGCAGCGCAAGAAGAGATGCGATGTATGTGCACCACCGTCCACGCATGCCGGCTAGGGGCTGATGATAGGTTGCTTACTACAGGCAGAACACCCGAGCTGCTCATTGTGCAGAAAGTTGAATCTCAGATGCGACTACGCTGTCACGGCCTCAATCCGAGTTGATGCTACGTCATCGACGAGCCGAACAGAGCATCATGTTTCGGCATCACCGGTTCAAGCGCAAGGC